CCTCGTTCAGGATTGATAGGCTGCTAAGCATTCACGATGTTAGGCCTGGTGGAGGTCGACACGCAGCGGTCCGTCGTCGACAGAACCCACTGTCTTATCGTTATCGTCGCGGTCCGGAATCCGAGCACTTCTTGCTCAGCTTCAATCCTCGCCGTGGTTACACCGGATCATGTCATGATTCAAACAAAGTTTGCGACCTCATTTCCAAACGTTCTGGAACGGAAAGCGCCTGTCGACTCGGGGGCTTTGACCTGCTGTCAGCCACTGTCACCCTTTGTTTGGAGAGGCGACCGTGGCCCAAAGAGAATGCGAATGATGAAGCCCTCAGATCTGAGAACTAAGCCTCGCCTCCAGACCAAGATCTACCCATCCCCGATATGCAAGCCCGTGATGAATCACCTCACGCCGCAATGTGCAACCCCCCAGTTATGCTTTGCCTTGCAGCAACTTGTGAATTGTCCCCTCTTGTGTTTGGCCCTCGGCATCTTTTCCCCAGATCCACCCCGCCGGGCTTATCCACCCTACCGCGCTACGCCCGGATAGGCTTAGTGGCTGAGGTCACAGGTAAACCTCGGCAGACCATGGGCGCATGGCAACGCACTCCGCCCCTTCTTCCCCAGGAAACCAGCTGTGTGAAGCCGAACGCTACTACCGCCGGGCCTCTTTAAACCGCCGATTGCCAGCTCCTTTCCTCCTTGCAACAACACCGTTTCCTTCTCTCATCCACAAACTCTGTAATCCAGCCCAGGTTCTTTTTCTCTGTATGATTTGCGATTCAGTATACCCAGACTCGAAGTATCATATCACAACTAGCACATCAGTCAACATGGCTTCTCCTCGTAAGTTGTGCAATCCAGACTCTCCTGTCACATGCGCCAGGCGAAATAGTGCGCTGACACGTTGCGCGAAACAGAGCAGATTCGCACTCCCATCACCGATCTTTTCAAGATCAAGCACCCAATCCTGCTCGCTGGCATGAACGTCGCCGCTGGTCCCAAGTTGGCTGCCGCTGTTACCAACGCCGGAGGTCTCGGTGTCATTGGTGGTGTCGGATACACCCCAGACATGCTTAAGGAGCAAATCGCCGAGCTCAAGGAGTACCTCGTCGACAAGAACGCACCTTTCGGTGTTGACCTGCTTCTTCCCCAGGTCGGCGGCAGTGCCCGCAAGACCAAGTAAGAAATCATCCCCACGCCGGAGGAGCCGCGCGCGTCACATGTGGATGTCTTTGTGCTGACCGTACCTACTTAGCTACGACTACACCAAGGGCAAGCTTGGCGAGCTCGTCGACATCATTATCGAGTCCGGCGCTAAGCTTTTCGTCTCGGCCGTCGGTGTCCCCCCCAAGGCTGTTGTCGATAAGCTCCACGCCAATGGCATTGTCTACATGAACATGATCGGCCACCCCAAGCATGTCCAGAAGTGCCTCGACCTCGGCGTTGACATTATCTGCGCTCAGGGTGGTGAGGGTGGTGGTCACACCGGAGATGTCCCTACTACCGTCCTCATTCCCGCTGTTGTCGACCTCTGCAAGGGTCACAAGAGCCCCGTCACCGGCGGCCCCGTTCAGGTCATCGCCGCCGGCGGCATTCACAACGGTCAATTGCTGGCCGCTGCCCTGATGATGGGCGCCGGCGCCGTCTGGGTCGGAACCCGCTTCATCCTTACTGACGAGGCCGGCGCTCCCAACGCCCACAAGGAGGCCGTCCGCACTGCTGGCCACGACGACAACATCAAGACCCTTATCTTCACCGGTCGTCCCCTGCGTGTACGCAAGAACCCATACATTGAGAACTGGGAGACGGAGCGTCAGCAGGAGATCAAGGAGCTCACTGCAAAGGGTGTCATCCCCTACGAGGCCGATCTTGAGAAGCTGATGAACTCTGGCGGTGACGGGGAGGGTAGTGGCAGCGGCAGCGACGACAACGCGTCCGAGGTCGATATCGATGACGCCCTGGACCAGTTCCGCCCCTTCCTCATGGGTAAGGCCGCTGCAGTCTGCAACGAGCAGAAGCCCGCCAAGGCTGTTGTCGACGAGTTCGTCAACGACGCCGTCGCATGGCTCCAGAAGGGCAACAAGATGATTGCCAAGTTGTAAAATCGTAAAATTTTGTTTCGCGCCATTCACGAGAAGTTGGTCGCATGTTGGGCGGCGTCCAGGGAAGCCTAGGCTTGACGTCGCCCGGGCCTGGAGTTTTGAGGCTCATGTATTGTATATAAAGAATGATCTAGGACACGACAGCTAGCAGCATATCATGAATGATTTTTTATTTCCTTCACCTGAATCGTCCAATTTCTTCCATTACCTTTAAGTGGCTCTGTACGTGCTTCTCGTGTGCCAGCTCGCGCAAGTTGGTCGAGCTCCTCTATGGACATTGAAAATCAACCCGCTGGCTGTTTAACTTCGGCGCGACCCATGCTGCTCGCATTCTCTTGCTCTGATGTCTTGTTTCGAAGGTTCCACACCGTCGGAAGCATGACCCCTGATGGCTGTGCGGCAGCATCGTGGGACCACCTCAGACCCAGTGCACATTTCACGTGTCAGTCGGGACCATTGAGTGCTAAGGATAAAAGTTCAAATCTATTCATTCCACAGTTATGTATTACCTAACCAAGAACAGTTTCATCACTCCGTGTCGCCGGCTCTGTCTGTAGACCTCGTGCCAAAAAAATCACAACACGCAGCCTACTGTCCCTCCCACCCGCAGGCTCGGTGGATGGGTCCGTGGCAGAGCACAAGGTATCTTTCGCAAACCGCCTGGTGTTTTCCAACGTCCCGTGCCCTTTCTCTGTTTAGGTCCGAGCTGTTTCGTCCGTAGATGCCGCTGGGATGTGTTCACGTTCGTCTTTCTTCGTCGCAAATCGAAAATCGAAAAGCATTCTCTCCTTCCCTTTTGCCAATCCCGTACGCCTTCGCTTGAGGTCTCTCAGCTGCCGAGGTACGCACGGATGGCACCCTGGAGCTTCTGGCTGGCCTCGCCTGCCAACTGGGTGAGGTTCTCGAGGTCGTCGCCGGCCGTAATGCCGAATCTGCGAATGAAGTCCTTGGCTGCACCCTCCAGATCGCCGTACTCCTCGGCAGGCTCATCCTCGGGTCGGCCGAAGTAGGCGTTTGAGGAGATCGAAGTAGCGCCCTCGAACCCTTGCAGACGCGTCTTGGCCTCGGCTTGGGCGTTCGGGTCAAATGATCCCTTGCCGAAGAATTCGTCTGAAGAGATACCCTTCTGAGCACCGAATTTGTTGCGCGCGTACGTCTCATCGTTATCTGCAACGGTTGTCAGTGATGATGTTCCCGCGTTTTCGAGATTGGATGTCATACCCTCAGAAGCGGCCTTGATGGGTCCAACGGAGCCGAATCCGCCAGCGGCAGCCTTCTTAGGCGCAGCTGCACCCTTGGGCCCACCGACCTGACCAAAACCAAGTCTGGTGACACCCATGCCCAATCGCTCCACTTCGGCGTTGGACTTCTGACGGGTATGGCTAGAAGAGCCGTAGCCGCCCTTTGGGCTAGTGGGGGTGGGGGCAGAGATGCTGTCGACCTTGGAGGCGGCCTTCTTCTCTTCTTCAGCCTCAGGATCGTAGCCCAGCTTCTCGATACGCTCGGCCTCTTCCTTTGCCTTCTTCTCGGCCTCGTCGAAGTCGATAACGTCAGCATTGACCTTCTTGACGCCCAACTTGGGAGCCTTTTTGGCGCCCAAGATGTTGGCCTTGCGAGGTCCGCCGGCGGTTGTCTTGCGGAGAGCAGCAGATGTAGTCACACGGCTGGCAGCGGGCTTGTTGTCACCGTCGGTCTTGGACAGCGGAGAGGAAGAGCGAGCAATGTCCTTGGCACCGTTGTTTGCGTTGAGGAAGGGAGAGGGGGTTCGGCCGACAGTCGGGGGAGTCGCAGTACGGGAGATGGGAGGCGTGGGCTTCTTGATGGCAGGCTTGTCCCAGGAGGAGAAGAAATCGTCGTCAGGTTCGCCGGATGGGGTAGAGGCGTCGGCTTCGGTGGCGTCGGTGATCACGACTTCATTGGGGTATCTGGGAGCCAGTCAGTCAACTCGAGATGTGGCATTTTGTTAGTATCTTGACGCACTCTTGAGCATCTCTCGCGGCTCGTCTCTTAAGCTCATCCTTGTACTTGGTAGCAGCACTGGATTGGTACTTCGTCTTGGGGTCCTTGCTGTTGAGAGCGGCGGTGCCTCCGTTTTGCTGGAAGAACTTTGTGGCCGACTCGTTTCCGCCGACCTTCATGAGGCGCAACTGGTCCCATTGCCATTCTACAGGGGTTAGTCTTCGAAGACGTGGCCTCAAATTTCAAAGCACATACGATCGAGGTTGGTGGATCGGACGAATGAGATATGGACACCGAGGTTTCGGTGGTTGGACGAGCAGTCGAGGCAGAGGTAGATGCCGAAGGGAACAGAGGTCCAGGTAGGGTACTTGGCGCCGCAATCGAAGCAAATCTTTGATGCACACACAGTCAGCTTTGAAAAGGGGGCGAGGCCATCAAAGGGCGCGGGTGTAAGGCATTACCTTGTTCGCAGGCTTCGTCTTCAGCTTCTCGAAGATCTTCAGCGACTGCTGCTTTGAAGCGAGTGCAGCCATGGTGACGGCGGGTGCAAAAGATCCAGACCTTGACCAAGTACAATGCGCTACCGCTGCGAAGAGGATGTCGAGGACGAAGAGAGCGGGTTGTGGGTACTCAGAGATGGGAGGTGCGCCGGCGAGAGCGAAGCAGGGAGCGGAGATGTCTGAATTTCGTGTCCAAAAGTTCAGGAGGCAGTCGCCGCCCTTCGGTGAAGTGGCATGTAATCAGTGCGCTAGTCCATATGAGGCTAGCTCCCTTTCCCCACAATGGACTGGCAGTCTGAATTCTGCCGAGGGCGGTCAACACCTTTTGCAGAGCTCGAAGGCCCAGCTACACTGGAGCTGCAGCTATGCGCTGCCGAGCTTTCTCGATGATCATCCTGTTATGCTCATCGTCCTCGTACGATGGCTGACTCCGAACCGCCATGATGAAAATGAATTCTAGATCGCTTGCGATTCGAGCTCCTTTGACATTGGGCCTTGCGCCGCGACTCCAGCCCTTGCTTGTACAACGGCATTATGCGACACAGACAGGTCTGGGAACGACCGCCACGTCCAAGTCGAAGCGCCGAACGGTCACGCCATTCAATGATACCGGAGCCGTTCCGTGGTCGGAACTTTCGGCAGGCGAAAAGGCAGCGCGAGCTACACAGCAGACTTTCAACTTCGGCTTGATCCTGGCAGGATTGTTCGTCACGGCAAGTCATACGATGCATTACCCCGCGGCGAATGCATAGCTGATGTTCATGGACAAACCAGGGCGGAGTAGCATACGTTCTATACACCGACGTTTTCTCCCTCGACAGCAAGACCGCGCACTTCAACCGAGTTGTCGACAGAATCAAAAGCGACCCTAAATGCATCGGGTTGCTTGGAGACCCCAAGAAGATTTCGGCCCATGGAGACGAAACGTATAACAAGTGGCGTCGGGCTCGCCCCATTGCGTATGGTTTCAGTTCCGTTTTATTGGACGTAGAGGTCTAACAGGGACAGTTCGACGATATCTACAGACTCGAGAGGCCATGAACACCTGGTGATGCACTTCTACGTATGGCCTGAACTTTGACACCACTGCGCAAGCTCATCTGACTTTGGTTTTTAGGTCGAAGGACCTCTCAACAGAGGAACAGTCTACTTGCATATGATCAGAACGCCCAGCAGCGGCGAGTTCGAGTACAAGTACCTCTATCTTGACGTCAAGGGGCATCACAGGATCTACTTGGAGAATGCGGACACAGGAACAGGTTCTGGGAAGAAGGGCTTCCGCTTCCTTGGTATCAGCTGGTGACGACTGTACGATGAATTCCTAGGCGGCATGAGTATTGTAAGATAGGGAGAGGTCTAGCCAAGAGGTGGATTGCTAAGTGTTCCTTGCCAATTGACACTTCACGGAGGCATTCATGACCCTTCGGTCGTCGAAGTCGCGTATGCAAAGTTACTAAGCATGGCTCGGTTGTGAACTACAGTCTCAGACCAATTGCTTCAACTGATGCCGACAATTTACTTGCAAGTAGCTTGGAACGCAGATTATACGAGAAAGAGTTGGTGCAAAAGAACATTATCCAATTTTCGTTCTACGCAAGGGCAACAACGTAGTATACATCCCTATGTATTCGCATACCATTGTCCCAACAAGACCTCGCAAAGGAAATGCGTCCCCATGAAAATGATACTTGCTAAATCTAAATCAACTCATCGCAACTATCAAGTTCATGCTGATCCGAGGATGATTCATTTCACGGATAACGGCTGGTTACCCGTCACTCAATTTACTCCTTAGTGGAACATCTTCAACGATCAGATGAGTCGAGGAATAAGTAACACATCGCTCCGATTCTTCTTTGGCTTTGTCAGAAATGCACAGAACGACTCGGTCGCCAGGGGAAGGTGCTCAAGAATGTAAAGGACTTTGACCCGGCAAGGTAAGATTCGACAAAACAAGCCGGGAAACCTACCAAGACAATCAGCGACGAGATATCAATTTGTTTTCGGCACCTTACCTGCCATTAAAACAGCTCGGACATAGCAAAGTTGTTGCATAGCTCGTTCCAATCGAATGACAAGTGATCTCATGTGAAATCCTCCTACGGATCCGTCCCTGGCACGAATAACAGATAGACAACTTGTAGGTCGATTGATGATCACATCGAGCTGGTTCTGTTGGAAGGTTGATTACATAGTCTGGTATTGGTTCTCGACAAGTGATCCGCCAAATCTTCACAAGCATAAATGACGGAAGCTGTAACTTCCGAAGTGTTATGCATTCAACTGGGCTTCCTTGGTTGAGCAGATATCGGACTACAACCTCTCCACATCCCCTTCGGCGTCTCGAGCCAGCGTACTTGAAAATGTTGCTTCGAACAAGAGTAGCGCAGTGATACTGACCAAATAGAAGCTCAGCCAACAGTTGGGAAGTCTAGCGCTTACTGAATTGTTGTTTCCTCTGCCCCATGTCACCTGGCAAGTTCCATCTCAAACATAACAAGAGTCTTCAAGGCCGTATCACTAAGAAACTTAGGTACGACTCGCTGTCATGGTTGGGTTCAGACAGTTTGTTCTCAATGCTTCGATGGCCCAGAGAGCTGCGCGCGGAAATGGTTTACCTCCTCCAAGTTGACCCCACCAAGACCCGAAAGAGCAAATCCTCTCATCCCACATACTTGATCTCAGCTACTCTTGCTGTGGGCTGGCTTTCGGTTGCGGTGGGTTTGTTCGAGAGAGGTTTGGGTTGGTCTTGGGATGCAGCAAGAACACAATATCCACGTGGATTTCATTGGGCTGCTCTTTCCCCAAGCCCGCTATGAAGCTCCTCGCACTTTGGGCAGCGCTAGCTCATTCACGGGATAATACGAACACTAAATCACAAGTTACGCGCGAGAAGAGAGACTGCAAGTGGACCAGCTGGTGCAAAGGAAGTTTGCACAGGCAACATGATGGAGCGGGCCAGTATAAGCATCACAACCAACCAAACCGCATAGCAACTTTTGGAACGTCCAGGGTGCCTTGGCGACGGACTCTGGACATTAACCTGACGACTGGACCTATCAGCGATTTATCATGATTCCCTCGCTCTATTGACATGTCTGATGTTGTTTCTACCGTCGTCTCTATCGTTGTCTGTACCATCGGCCGTTGTTTCTATAGTTCCGATTCCATAGCGTTCTGGGCCGAACACAGGACTTGAGTGTCCTTCTAAAACCCCATCATTCCTTACTGCAGGTCAACCATGGAAACTTTTGGCGGTTCTTGAAATTGAAGGGTATTTACTTTGTTACAATGGCATTCATGCAATAGTCAAATGTTCAATTCGCATGTTGTTGCCGTTTGGCTGCCGAATAATAGGCGATGGTGCCCACAACACAGTCAATCTTGGTTCGCGACATCAACGAACGAGTGATCCTTCGTTGGAATTTCTAACTAATTCCCGTATCACAGGGTGAGTCGATAGATCGGTGCAATTTTCCCAATGGTATATGATCCCTTGGCATTGATGGTTCCAGTAGCCTCCAAAGAGCTGCAAGCAAGACGCCGAGCTCGACCTAGGTGCATCTCGGCGTTTACGATGAGCCATTATGCTACACGTTGCTTTTCATGATGGGCTGGACTTCAGGAGTCGAACCCTGGCTAAAACGCTTGCTAGTCCAGGCTCCATCATCAGAGACCACAGAGCGGCAGCCAAGTCTAAGCTTATACTCCGACTTGAGTGCTCAAAAACCCGCAACCCACTTCGACATTCCACCCGTACATTGATCAATCACGTCTGGATGTGACGAAACCTCCCGAGACTCACTTTTTCGACTTGATTGCTCGATTGAAACAAGTCCTCAGAAAGTGCGCGTCAGCCTCCCGAAGTTCCTGCTTGGCTCCCTCACAGCCACGTAAGCGGGACCGTAAGCAAGCGCTCTCGAGGGCCCTTGATTCGCCCAACCTGCATTCAGCTCTGTTGCCTAAAGAAACGCCCACACATCAAAGCACAGCGCCGCACTTCCACAGAGAGCACAGGCAACCGCTAAACGAATGCCAAAGGCTGGGGTAATTGAGTGGCAGCAATGGGATGCGTCAAAGCAGATCATCGGCAGGGCTGACTTGATGGACAACCGGGCTCGTTCACAGGGTGCATATATGGTGAATGCCTGTCCCAGGCAGAAAGACAACACCATCTCTCTCTGCATGTAGGTACCTACATACGATCTGAATTACAGCCACCTGACCACAAGCCCTCCACCACAGCCTCATTGACGATCAGCCAGCCCCCTCCAGCCCAACCCCATACGTCTTCGTCGTCAAATTGAACATCAATTCGAAGTAGCCTTCTTCCATCAAATGTGCATCCCTCGCCCTCGCAGACACAAATCATCAAACTCCTCGCCCATCACCAACATCCCCTATCGTCGCCTCGAATCACCGCCCCCAACACCTCCTCGCATGGCTCCCTGGCCCCTCCCCAACTCGACTCTTCCTCCATCCATGGGCAACGGCGGCGGCATGCCAGGGTCGTCAAACACCTCCGCAGCCCGCGTCTCATCACAACACGAGCGCCTGCTGCTCGAGCTCCTCCCCTTCAAGGAGGCGTCCAAGTTCCACGAGTGGCTCGACAGCCCGTTCGTCCGCGGGCCGTGGAACGAGTTCAACGCCGACTTCCTCATCCCCCGGAGCGGGGCCGCAGCCGCCGCCGGCGAAGGTCCGGCCGGGATCCCGGAGCCGGACAAGCCACGCACGGCGCAGGCGGCGCGCGACGCCCTCAACTCCCGCAAGCCAAAGTTCCTCGTGTACCACCCGGACAAGACCGGCTGGACGCCCGAGGACCACCACGTGCGCTTCATCGTGACCCTCGTCGCCGATAACATGCTGCAGAACCTGTGGTACGAGTCGGAGTGGAAGAAGCGGGGTCTCGACATCGCAAAGGCTGCTTACGAGGTGCTCATCTTCCTCAAGGCTACCCTGTTTGTCGACCCCAGCCCGCCGAGTTACTCGGCATGAGAGCTGAAGTCAATCATTGTGCCGGTTTCTCCTTTGGCTTTTTTGTCTTTTTGATGGGGGTGTGCATTGGCGTGGGGGGAATAAACAGGTCAACGGGCGCAATCGGCGTTTGCACATGGCGTATTCTTTTCACGAGGAAGAGAAGGGAGTGGAGGGGGGTATGAACCGATTGAATTTCTGGCAAGGTTGGCCAATCGCGACGCATAGCAGCCATTGACGTCCTCATGGCAAGATCAGATCATCTACGAAAAATCTCAACGGAATTTCCGAAGGGCTGCGGAGAGTCAACTCACTCACTCCCCTTTTCACATGGTAAAACTCAAGAAACCAAAAATGCCGTCATAAAACCGCTCGTGAACGCGATGTTGAGACCGAACAAGCTCCCGTCCCGCACACCCACACCCACACCCGAGGTTGAGTTGACATGGACGTGATGATGTGCCCCGGAAAGCTTCACTTGAAAGTGCGGCGTGGTGATGATGCAAGGCCGGATTCTAGACCACCGGTTCCCCGTGTGCCCTACCCCAACAACCTGGTAAGTGCTCTGCCGTTGTGAGGGGGGAAACGTCTTGTACCTTTCATGCGGGCCAACGAGCACCCATCATGAGCCAATTCTAATATTGCGGAGCACGCCGGTGTTGGGTTGGCATGTGACAGAATAGTTCAGAGAGAGATAGAGACAGAGAGATACAGAGAGAGTGTCAGAAAACCGAGAGAGAGCCGTAACTACATCCTTCCGACTTGGCGCATACTTCCCGAGGCGAAACATGACAACTGCCCTGGCGAACTCTGTCAAACTCTCTGAGAATACTATGCAGTACGCAACAACCCAGACGGAATTTGAATGTAGCCCCTACAAGCACGCCCCCTTTTCTTTCCGTTCCTCGTTCCGCGCTGTTGAGCAATACTCGTACTTGTAACTCTTGAGAGAGACTCAGTTTGCGCATGCCGGAAAACGGACCGATATGTGGCCTTGGTGGTCTGCCTTTCTTGATTGTGCAATCACGTATCCTCGGTTATGCGTGCGTGTTGTATAACCGAAGACTTTAGGAAAGAGGTGCGAAAGAAGCGACCATTTTTTCGGGGGGAAGGATGTAGCAGGTTTCTCTCTCTGATACGCAACCTTCCGGTGTGCATGCATGTCCACGCCCGTTTGCGCAATCGAGTTTGTCACGACGGGTTACACTTGGGAACGTAGAGAACCATTGGCAGACAGAAAACATAATCAGAAAACAGCAAGATGAAAACTCGTTGCGTCGCTTTCAATGAGCGGTCTGGAACCCGCATATGCAAGACGAGAATTGTGAGCGATCAAAGCAGCCAAGAGAGATACTGCAACGCTCCCGCTGTGGCGAACGGAGCTGCACTCCGGCTATGGAAGGACCGGGGAAGGCTTCAGCTGTCCGTTCAGCCTCATCCGCATCCCATGGGCTGATGCACAAGGTCGCTGCAGCGCTTGAGGCGCGAACGAGAGGGCAGATTGGGGGGAGGAGTAGGAGGAGGAGAATTGGAGTGAGGAGGCGAGGGAGGGGGGGGTAGACGGGTAGGTAGGCGGGGAAAGCGGGATGTGTGCAGGGCCAGCTGCAAGTCATTGCTGCAAGCTCGACAACTCTGCTGCTATTTTCTTTTCTTATTTGGCGCACTCTTCGCCGAATCTTGCCTCGACCTCACGGCTTCCGGAAGAGCTAGAACATGCAAAGGAACATCATCATAGTCCCGGCAGTGGGAGCGGCATCGAGGAGGGCCAGCCGGGAGAGCGTTCAGCCATAGAGAGACGAGGGATACCTTGGAATGCGATCGAGGCCGAGGGGGCAGCAGCTGCGGAGACAACAGAGACAAAACAAACAAACAGGAAACGGGCCTGTAGCAGGCGAAGAAAGCCAAACAGATGGCATCGTTCAATGTGGTAGTTGGGGGCCGGGGCGGGAACGCGGGATGCGGGTTGCGGCTCGTTCGCACCACAAGACAACGACAAAAAGCCGGGGTTGCCCGTGAGGACCCGGCAAGATGGAGCCAGGGTTAGACGACCTCCGCACGATTAAGCGGCATTGTGGGCTGACCAAGAAGCGGGAGGCGCCTCTGGGAGGTCTCTCGTGCAGCAAAATCGTCTCAACTCCGCGTCGGGATCTGATGTTTCTGGCCCGCCTGCCGCTGCCGCACACCTTTCTCTTTCATTCTCTCTCCGCTCTCTTGTCCCCTCCCCCCTCCCTTCCCCCCCATCTCTGGTGTGCCCTTACAGCAGTCCATCTGTGCTGTGGGTTGCAACCGGATGCGCGGCGAATGGGCGATCTGTATGCGAGGGGAGCGGGAGCAGCAGCAGCAGCAGCAGCAAGCAGTAGTGGCAGCAGTAGCAGCGCAACGTAGACAGCCTCCTTGGCAGGCTGGGCTGTGGCCGCTGGCCGGCGTCGTAGTATCCCCAGGGTCCCGAGGTGCGTCGTGCAACCCGCTCACCCCGGTTTTTGCAGGGCGCATCGCACCAAGGGACAATGCTTGATGGTAGGCATGATGAATAGGTGGCAGTGAGCAGCGGCGAAGTATACGTATCATACGGCGGACGTTGATGGTGTGGACAGTTGCCGGGTTTGGCGATGTGATATCGTATATGTGATTCTCATGCTGCTGCGAGGAGGGCGGGTGGACGCGCCAGTGGTTCGTCGATCCGAGCATTCAATCTGTACTCTTTTTGAGACTGTGTTTCTGTCCACGGCTTCGCAATGGTGCGGGTAAGTTTGTGTGTGGCCCAGGCTCTAGCTGGGGTCTGGAGTGATTGTGTCGACCGATGGACATGGCATAGAGAAACAGCGTTTCAGGCGAAGCAACTGGCTGGCAGACTCGGGGCTTGGTCTATCAGACTATCCTATGCTCGTCGCACCCTCTCCGTGCTTCTGGTTCTAGCTGCCTCGGCTAGTCTGGACCGGTTGTATGACGGCAGGCGTAGCTGCAGTCGCAGAATCTACTGCCTCGCCAGTCGCAGACCAGCAAAGTCCGGCACAGCTTGGTACCGGGATCTGGAGCGAGATAGGGTGATCTCTCGATTCCCACGATCGTAAGATGGAATGGCGTTATGTTGGATGAAAGAGCGGAGAGACAACTGGAGTGAGGCGGGGAAGGGGGCACGGAGAGAAAGGTTCAACCCATGCCGGTTCCGTCGGTGAGGTGGTCACTCTATTCATCCTATTGTGAGCCTGTGATGCAACGTTTGCCAGGGGAGGGACAGGAATAGTAGGCAGTAGTTGTGCTTGTCACGACCACACCAGTATATTCGTGCATCGTGCATTTGGTGTGTGTAGAGGACCTGCGACCACTTGTGTGTCCTTGTATTACGACTTGACGTTCTCTTACGATGGATCCCCGAGCAGAGCAAAGCGGATCGCTGCCACCGGAGAATATACACAGTATTGCGTACGTAGACATAGATTGTATGGATACTACTCGTTGATGCGCGCAGCCAATTGTCAGTCTCTATGAGGTTGTAGAATATCTATGGATACGCAGCAACTTCAAACAAGGCCAATGCATGTGCATGGGGGCGGGACGGGATTATGTCACCAATTGAAAGAAACGCGGCATTAAGCAGAATCTGGTTGAGGAAATCAGTCTTTTGAGTCAACACAACTGAACCCTTGGTTTGTATGGGGAAGGGGGATCCGTACCTCTTCAGCAGAAGTGAGGGTACCGACTTCCATTACATAACGCAGCAATTCCGCGGTCCATTGGATTCGCAGTCGCGACAATGAATGAATGGAGAGGGACGGACAGGGTCGCAGGGCTGCTTGCTTGTGGCCATGTAAGGTACTCCAGACGGGCGTGCGGCTAGCAAAACGTGCTCACAGATCTGGGGCTCTGACGGAGGGCGAGATAGTCGCGAGCGGGATGTGACAGGGACCGCCTGAACCACCTACCTGTCCAGAGAGCAACCCCAAGCATCGAGGTACCGCCATGTCACTCGCTGCCGAGGGATACCTTTGATGACGGGATGTGTTGTGTCCTCCAGCAGGCCTTGAAACGATAGCGTTCAGCGTTCAGCGCTCCCAGCGCGGTCTGCTCGCTGACACGACAGTGCCACGGCGGTATTCCGTCCAGGGTTTTCAGGGTGTTCCAGGCCGGTGGATCCTTACCTTAGCTGGCGCCATTGGATTGGGTGGTGCAAATCCTCATGCGCGCCCTGTGTGGGAGAGGATGACATGTCCCCAGCTCCACCCACGGTCCAGCGCTTTGGCTTCCTTGGAGTTGTCCCTGGCATGGAGGCGCCTGGAGGACCCCCCGGGGCGACGAGAGGGCCTTGGGGAGCAGCTTGGCACGTCGGCGAGCATGGCAGAGAGCTGGGCGCGCCAATTGCAGCGCAGAACCACCACGCCTGCGAAGCGTTCCGCTGTATCGCAGTGGGGCCCCTCGATCTGACGCCATTTTTTTTCCTTCGAGAACAAACGGGGCAGCGAAAAAGATTTCCCCACGATAGCCCGTTAGCGCCTCCAGCACCCAGCCATCACGGTCCTCTTTTTTGCCCTCTGTTTTTTTTTTTTTTTTTTCCTTCCTTCCCCAGTAGAGCCAGCCAGCCTCCCTCCCAGCCGCATCCGGACTTGCCCGGCTCTACCCAACACCTAACACGATAGCACACAGCACGCTTGTCCCGAGCCAAGCACACAACCGCTCAAAAGGCCGTGCCAACTCATCCTCCGCTGCACCTCTTCGCCTCTCGGCCTCAAATTCTCAGCCTCCATAGCCACTGTCACCACGGCTTACCAAGATAGTGGAGTCCCTCCCTTCCCCCCAAGCACACACCCAGATGGAGGCTCTGCCCGCCGTCTCCCTCTGGCCGACATTTGGCCGATGGTGACGATGGGATTTTATGCCCTCGGTGGACCCGGGCCTTGACCGACCGCTGCTTCTTATCGGTCCTTAACCGCTGAATCTCTGGCTGCGGCGGGTCAACCGTGATATTTGGTGGAGTTGCTTGGGTTTTTTCTCCCTTCCTTCCCCAGAGTGTTCCCGCCTCACAGTTCCATAGCTCATGCTGGCCAAGTCTCGGAATTCCTCAGCTTGCCTGGTCAGAAAACTCTGATGTCTCTCAGAGTCTCGTCAAACGTCTGGGGGCCGCCGCTTCAAGCTTGCCTCTGAACAGGGCCACAAAGGGGGGGCCATTACCGTATTATCGATTCATGCTCGTCCTATCTGTCGGCCAAGCTCCGGCGCTTGGCCCGGTCCTTCTCCAGCCGGGCCCTGTCCTCCTTGGTATTGAGTAGCCAAGGTTCCTTACGGTCCGCGGCTTGTTCGTCGTTATCTCGGCCATTGGCCGTTCTGATCCTCCACATCTTCTGCCTCGTCGTCCTTGTCACCATCATCGCCGCCGCTTCCGTCGCCGTCCTCGTCGTCGCTTTCGGCCTGCGTCCCCAGGAGTAAATCTTCGCTGCCTTGCCATTGCGGCGGCATCCCGGGAAGTGCCGCATCGTCCTCCCGCTCCCATCCGTACTCCTCGTCATCTTCGCTGTCCGGCACTTCCAGCCCTGCCTCTGCTAGCTTGCGCTTCGTTCGTGGGCTTCGAGACAGCAAAATCGATGGCTGGCTAGTGTCGTAGTGCACGCCAATCAGGCCCGCCTGTCACGATAACGTGGAGAGTCAGCCAACCCAGTCTCCCTTCTCGGAAACTCCGCTTCCGCCAAATTATGCCGCATTCATGACTGTGATGCCAACAAAAGTGACTGACCGCTTCAACTCTGAACGCCGCTGCGCTCTGCATCGTGTCCGGCTCAGCCTTGCCGTCTAGCTTCTGCACACCGGCGAAGCTCACGCTCGACGGGCTGCCGTCCTTCCAGACCCAGTCTTTGAATAGGACCACTCGCGTTGACACCCCTTGCTCCCAAACTCCAGCATTAATGGAAGGAATCAGGGTTGGACTCCGCTCCGACTGCATCTTGGTCGCGCATTGGGACAAGACCACCACGGCGCAGTTTCTCGTCGCTGCCAGCTTCTGGAGTGCGCCGACAATGTACTGCAAGGCTTGCAATCGCTTCGCTGACAGACTGGGCCCTGCATGCTATCAGCTTGTACTCTGGAAGTCTGGGCATACCTGCAGACCTTTGCCTGGGACCGGCGCTTTCCTACCGTCCGGTGCCTTGGGAAAGGCGTGATTCACGAGTGCTGATAACGAGTCGATGACGACCAGGGCCGTACTTGTTGGTATCGTTGCGGCCGCAGGCCTACATAGCAGTGCAACTAGGTGAGGAAGACTAGGGCATGTGTAGTGGGTGATTTTATCTCTGTCCAACGATGCTGGTTGGTTGTTTTGCGATACGCGTGCCTGCTCTGCCGCCTCGATCACCGCTGCAAGTCTTTGCCCGCAGAGCGAATAGGCGCAATCTTGAGAACGCATCAGTCTTGACGTCTCGTCCGACGTGATAAGGCCAGATGAACCGACCTACCCAGACGGCACCTTGGCCCTCGCGCAGTGCGCTTGCTACGAGTTGGATGCTTGAGGATCTGTCAGCCCTGAGCCTGAAGTGTAGGGAGAGATGTTGGCAGCATACCCTAGTGCTGTCTTGCCAGTTCCCGGAGGTCCCCAAACCTCGGTAACTTGGCCTCTCAGGATACCCCCAGAGCGTTTTGACCCAGATGTGTCAACAGAATCGTCAGAGTTGAGGGCCTCATCTAACCGCTTGATTCCCGTAGAGATGTGCCTTGAAAGATCATCGTCCAAGTCTTCTAGCACTTGAGCTGCAGACACAGTGGGCAATCGGTCTGCTCCAAGTCAGTGTCCGACTTCCTAAGCAAGACTGGCTAACGTACGCGTAGAAGGGAGATCGAAACTGGAAATATCTTCCTCGTGAAAAGCATGATATTTTTCCATCTCAGGAGTTGCAGATGGTCGTTCGCAGCTTGGAACTGCGGCTGCTTTGATTCTACCTGCCTAATGCCATCGAAGTCGGGAGAATACAGTACGCGTGACTCCATCCACACACGTGCCCCACAACACGTCACCAGCCACACCAGGCGACTGTGGCGCGTGCCTACCTTCCCTGCCTCACCAGCCGCCACATCATCGACTGGCATCTATCTGCCTTCAAAGATCTGGCGCAGGTAATGACAACGAGAGGCATGTCAAGGCAGACCAGACTTGGTCCATATCTTTCTCCCGTCGTCCCGCCCGTGGCATCAATGGACGGAAGCTACTGTTTACGCCCGTCGTAATAGAGTCTCACCAAATCGATCCGGACGACTGTGCGCCGTTACACACGACAGACTACCACCAACCGGCCCATTGACCATATCGAGATGGCCACGGCCCATGAAGTCAGAAAAAACCTCACAAATACTCTGCAAAACACTTGGCTCCATTCTCAGCATGCCGATACAGTCCGTCTGCTTGAGGAAGTCACCGCGGATACCACGTCAGCCCAAACATCGTCTCAGCCATCCAAGCCTACTGTTACCGACTTTCTGGAACGTTTAGGGTCGTGGTTCAAATTCGGACGACAAGATATGTCAGCACCACGGCTGCATCCCCGGCCAAACGGGTGGAACGTGGCCGTCGGGGTCGACTGCTCGAGCGCCCCCAACTCGCATGTTCAGATCTCCCAACAACTAAGTCTATTTCCATCTCGTCCCGGAACTTCTAGGGCCTCTCCGGTTTCAAGATCTCTGCGACCCTACAGTCAACAGGAAGCCTCCCGCTCAGACGTCGATTTGGCTCATGTTACTGCGAACGCCTGGACGAACATCTCCGCGGTTTCATCAGCGTACATCGCAGCATACTTTGCGTGGGGTTCCAAAAAACCCTGCTTCTAGTCAAGACGCAAGAGTCAGGAAGCCCCGATACCAACACTCTTGGTTTTTGAAGAAGCCACAGGCTGTTCGCTGGCGTAATCTACCAGACATAATTACGCCGAGAGTTGCGACCAATGGAATCTCCAGAGATATGCTTTGATTATGCTCATCGACGCCAATATCTCGAGACATTGCGGCATGATCCCGCGTGGGGCCCTGCGGGGGTTGAGCAACCAACCCATTGACCTTGGGGTCTCCCCGTGGGACCAGGACGACCCCTCGAGAAAAGGCAGTTGCCCGAGCCGGGGCTGAGCAATATCGAGAGCCAGCATGACCTGTCCAAAATGGCTACTCGTCGGCTCGGAAATCGGGACGGTGGTTATCTACTCCACAACACGCAGGCACTATTTGACGTGAGCAGACTGCAGAGACCCTTGCGAAGATCAAGGCCGTACGACAAAAAAATTGTGTCATACCCGACGGCGAGGACACTCCAATTCGACAGACGACGTCCTGCAGTATTGAGCCTCAAGTTCCCAACAAGAGCACGACCAGGGTATTCCCGACGATTACGCCTTGTTAGAGGATTGTGATTCGAGGAGAACATGCCACGATGCTAGACGTGTTCATGGATGTAGCGCCCCTTGTTTCCGACCGTCAGTCACAGACTACCGACTCCATTCCGAGGATTCGACAGATCACGTTGTCCACTTGATGAAGGCCACTTGCTGGAGACCTGGCGAAGCTGAGATCTTGAATCCTCTCACATGAGCACTGGACCACATGTCGTTCATCTCGAACTGGGGAAAAGTGCCAATAATCACGCGTATGGCATGGGTGTTTCCGACCTGGGGTTGATAACGCGGAGCGCAAGCGGAGTTGTCTTCTTCCGTATCATTCTCCCGCAAATTGTGTGGGGGTAGGCATCAGGACTCGGGGCAGCGTTTTGCGGCGCTTCAAATTGCCTGAAATCGCGCGCTCACAGGTGCAGTTAAGGGCCTGATCGGAACCATCCTGCCATCCATTTTTGCTATCCAAAAGAGCGCCTATAGAGATATAAAAAAACAAATAATCGAATTCTTTCTAGTAGCTATACCTCTTCTAATAGGAGATTTATATAAGGCGACTTATATATATTCTAGCTAGAGTTATATAAAGTAACCCCCTTAGTTAGGGAGGTATTACCCTTAGTAGGGGTTAAAAAAAGCCCTCTTAAGCTTAAAAATATCCCTTTTTTTTAACCCTCCTCTTTTAATCTTATAAACTCTTATCTTACTATTTCGCTTATATCCTATTAATATAATAGACCCTAAAATAAGGGATTACTAAGTACTTACCGCCCTATTAGCTAGGATCTTAGAAGAATTATTTAATAATAATAATAATAATAATAAGATTAATAAGTATATTTTATAGAAGGTTTATAATCTTATTACTATTTAATAAGGTATTAATATTATTATAGCTATAGCTATAGATTTTTTAAATAGTAATAATAATAACTTTAGAGACTTATTTTAGTTAATAAAATTAGAGTTTAATACTCTTATTAATTAGCTATAGTAGTAGTATTTATTTATTAATATAAAAAACTAAATAGTAGAGTAAAAGTTATTAATCTTTTTATATATTACTAAGTAGTTAGTAATATAGTAAAATATAGCTTTATAATTCTATATAGTATAAAGTACTATATTAATAGTCTTCTATAAGGTATTAGTAGCCCTCTATACCCTCTATAAGTATTATATTAAGTTATTACTATAGTTATATATATTAAGAGAGATTAAACTAAAGTTAGAGACCTATTAGTTTAATAGCTATATTAAAACCCTTAATAGTACTTATATCCTTATATTTATAGTTACTAATAACTAAAAGAGGTTCTATAATTAGAAGGATTAGTTAATATAAAACATACTAGTAGTAATAGACTTTAATTACCTTTTTATATATATACTTACTAATATAGAGAGGTTACTAAATAACTTAACCCTACTTAACTAGGTACTAGTATACTCTTTTTTAATACCTAATAAGAAGTACTACCTCACTAATAATAGCTTTACCTATAACTTAAGAGGTATTATAGTACTATTTAAAAGTAAGAAATACTACTTCAAAAAGTTTAGTAATAATAAGCTTATAAGTATAAAGGAGCTATATAACTTATACTATATAAAGCTAAGGATAAAAGTTAAGAAGGTATTTAGGGTCTTAAAGAGGGTTTTTATAATCCTATATAGGGGGGCACCTAAGTATAACTTTAATATATAAGTTAGGATTATATATATTATAATTAGGCTATATAACTTTATTAAAATTAGAGAGTATAATATAAAGGTAGTAATAGAGACTTATAAAGCTAATAATATAGCTAAAATCCTCTAAACTATATAAGAGAGGGCTAATAAGGTTATAAGTAAAAAAAGAGATTTAGAGATTTACTAGTAGATAGTAGTTTAGTATTAGTAGGCGTAATTAGAAGAGTAATAAGTAGTTAGTAAGTTAATATTATTTTTAAAGTAGTAATATAGGTAGTCTTTTAATGTAATATTTAGGCTCTTTTTTTAACCCTACCCCCACTAGAAATTTATTAATAAAAGTAATAAGAAGCTCTTATTAGCTTATTAGAGTAACTTTTTTAATACTAAGTTAATAATATATAGAGTAAAATTAAGAGTAAAGTAATTCTATTAGTCTATAATAATTTAAAGTTTCCTTAGTATTAAATTAAGTTAATATTAGACTTTTTGCTACTTTCAGCTTAGCTATAAATATCTCCCTTATTAACTTTAATTATAAGCCTCAAAATACTATATTTTTCTAATAATACTAACTTTATAATATATAGGAGGGTATAGAAGCTAGAAGTGCGTATAAGGTTAGCCTTAAAGTATTTATATACTCTCACTAAGCTATTACTACTAAGTTTTTCGCTATATTTACTTATATAGACTTTAATAGCTTTTATAACTACTTTACTACCTCCTATTATAATATTATTAAGCCTACTATGCTAGATATATACTAACTTAGTTCTTACCTCTAACTTAGCTTATACTACTACTATCTTTTTATTAATTAATTAACTACTTTAAAACTTATTAAGTATATTATTAGCTAAGCTTAGGCTTTTAGTATATTTATTAAGATCCTAATTAGTAGTGCGTTACTTCTTATATAGCTGTATTAGAGTTTAAAGCTAACTACTGCTCTTACTAAGTATAATATTATTATTGTTATTATTACTGCTGCCTTACTTTCTAAGATCTCTAACCTCTATAATATTATCGCCTATAGGCTTAGTATTAACCTATATAATATTATAAAGGCTATAGATCTAAGATATCCCCTTCTACTATAAACTCTTCTACTTTTTATTCTTAGTGATTTAGTCTACTTATATAATATTAGTAATAGAGATCTTATTACTCTTATTATTATACCTAATACCTAACTTATTAACTAGTTAAAGTGCTCTTTTATACGTCTAGTATATATTATCTTACTTTATAGCTAAATTGTTAACTATAAATAGATAGCTTAACTTAAAAAAGGTTAACTTTATTACTAGTAGTATATTAATAAGTGCCTTATATAGGTTAGAGAGTTTAGTGCTCTTCTCTATAATATAGTTACACTTTAGTTCTATAGTATTAAGCTAAAAGAACTTCCTAATATACTCTCTTTGCTATATAAGCTTTTTTACTTTAGATATAGAGGGTTAGCTATCTTCTATTATATCTTCTATAATATTATCTACTTATATCTATTAGTTTTATAGGACTAGCTAGCTGGTAAGGGTCACTGTGGGCAGTAAATATTATATTATATTAACTGCGTTAGTGGTGATATATATATAGTTAACTGCATTAGAGGTAGTAGCTACAATCGCAGCATTAATTACAGAGGGTAATGCCTTATATAATTACTGATTATATAAAGCGCGCCTAGCTTAATTAACGCTACAATAGGCTAGTGTTACTAATATTAGTAACTTTCTCTTTTTGCTAGCGTTAACGTAGTTAATAGTAACTATAGTATAGTTTAAAAAGAAGTTATTAAATAATATATAATATG